GATGCTGGCTGCCGACCTGGTCTGTGTCAAGTGCCCACAGCTCGCAAGATAAGACATTCTCCCTGATCGTGTTCCGGCCTCGTTGAAGAAGCTGTAGCAGCCTCCAGCCGCCCGGTGAGTGTATCACGTGATGTCTGTGGACACCACAGCTCGGCTGTGGGACGTGGGGAGCCCGGAGTCCAGCACCCACACGTCTGTGAGCGACGAGAACTCCAATCAGGTGGTCCGCATCCCCTGGCTTATGAGTCTCTTCATCTTCTTCTACTCGCTCATCTTCCTGCTGGGGCTGACGGGAAACTGTTTGGTGGCCTTTGTCGTGATCAGGAACAAAGCCATGCAGACAATCACCAACATCTTCATCACAAACCTGGCCATCTCCGATATTCTCATGTGCCTGCTTGCTGTTCCCTTCACACCCATCTCTTTCTTCCTCAACTCTTGGATCTTCGGCAAAGCGCTGTGCCACATCGTTCCCATGATCCTCTGTATCTCCGTCTACGTCTCCACTCTCACATCCACAGCCATCGCTGTCGACCGTTATTTCGTGATCGTGTACCCGTTCAAGCCCCGGATGAAGGTCTACATGTGTGTGCTCATGATCTTCGCTATCTGGATCATCTCCATCTCCATCTCTCTCCCTCTGGGGATCTACCACGCCGTAAAAAAGTCGAACGAATCCAAAGAATTCATGTGTTCAGAGCACTGGCCTAAGCCCCAGGCTCGCCAGTTCTTCACGGTGACGAGTCTAGTGCTGCAGTACATCGTGCCCTGCTCCATCATCTCCTTCTGCTACACCATGGTCTCCCTGGCACTACGCCGCCGGTCAAAGGTCAAGATAGGCAGCGGGGCGCGCACACGAGAGAGGGAGGAGATGGAGATCAAGAGGAAGAAGAGGACGAACAAGATGTTGATTGCCATGGTGAGGACTGCTTATAGTTTCTATCTGAACAGATGCATGTGGATACCCCCCTCTCTCTTTTTTTGTCCATCTATATAAAGGAACGTGCATACCTCCCTCTCTCTTTTTTTGTCCATCTATATAAAGGAACGTGCATACCTCCCTCTCTCTTTTTCTGTCCATCTATATAAAGGAACGTGCATACCTCCCTCAGTCTTTTTTATCTGAACAGAAACATGTGTATACCTCCCTATCTCTTCTGTCCATCTACATACACGAATACGTATTCCCCTCTCTCTCTCTCTCTCTCTCTCTCTCT